TAAAAATAGAATTATTGTCCCATATCATGGGGACAACCCCAATACTAGAAATGGCGCGCGCTTACGGTCTCCGTCCCCGATTATGGCTCCTGATATTACCCCATAGCTCCTTAGAGTACAGCTTTTCCGCGGCATTCTCAACAAGGCACATTTCAAATGCAATACGCGATTTAACAAAGGTGGTCGAAATGAAACATGAATTCGTTTATCTTTCCCATGGTACCTTTCGTGCCACTTCCTTTTAGCACACTGTGTTTCCGTTGGCGTATGTTTGTGGGGTATTTCTTAAACTCGAGTCTTTAATATTTATTGGCTGATTAAAAACTCGTAAATGAGATGAAATGCCAGTATGCCATCAGTGTTAACAAAGACGAAGTAAAAGACGTCTTAAAGAGAGACATTGTTGTGAAGGATGCGTTTGTGAAAATTTAAAAGTCTTGGTCACCTGCTCGCAGTGAAAGAAGCTGAACATGGCTTAAAACTCTTTTGACCTTTCGTCATGTTTATCGACTGGGTGAACGTCCCACCCAATTTAGTGCCATTACCTCAATAACGCTTCGAAACTCAAAGTAGAACTGTTCATAAAATGGAAGACAGCTTCAATTTAATTAATTACCCATTCCTCATTAGAATGGACCACACACGCTCGCGAACTGTTTGTGTTTTGTCGCGAACACCTTTACTACCAAACTGTTGTTGACGACGTTCGGCCTGTTTATCTTAATTAACGAATGCTCGCGCCGAAGATGCAATTTCTATTCGACAATTCAGTGAGCGAAAACTTAAGCTTTCGGCGAGATAACAGATAACGAATGTTTACCTGCAGGTAAGAAAAAAACGTATTATGGCTGAGCTGTCCTGCCGGGGGGCAACTTGTTAGCGTTTTTCCTTTGTTTCTTAAGCCGTGTGAATGGACAACTCCTTAGCTACGAATATTTGGTCGTCATAACAAATTCTCACAAGTTTTTTTTTCTGTATGTAAGATTGGCAGTGTTGAGACGGTTCAGTCGCATTTGCTGATCAGAGTTTTGAGGGTAAAATTACACGCTTCTCTAATTTCCACTTTCAAGAGGAAAACTTTCACTTTTGCCGTTCCCAGAAGTAACAGGGAGCCCGCGCATAACGAGTTTGAAACAGTGCGCGTTTTTTGGGAAGGGCTGTTAACTTGTCTGAGAACACGGTAGCTGTCGAGCTTTTAGCGCATCCAAAATGCCAGGTCAGAAGAAATCTGCAGAATTAGCCGCCCTCCTTGTGGTGTCGTTTAGCTTGGCGACTGTGATCCTTTCTGAAGGTACAGTAGATTTCATATATTGCTTGTGTAAGATATGTTAAATTGTTGATAAAGGTGTCTTCATTAAGATGAGGGGTAAAATTGATTACTGTTTGTGTCATATCAAGAGGTTCATGAACTTTGGTGTACCGTGTGACACAAAGTATCGCAAAACCTTCAATAACGTCAATGCGTTTCGCAATATAACCAAAGTGAAAGCTGTACTTAAGTCTGCTTAATGTTGCATGGTTAGAAACCAACTCGTGTTTCAGCATTATTTTGGCGAGTGTTTCTATCTACAAATTGCAGTGTGGGTTTTCGGAGAACTACTGCTTAAATTATTAATTTAAATTTTCACGAAACACTCTCAGATTTGCGCAAAACTATATCTTCTGAGTTCGTAAGCTGCGTGCAGACCGAATGACTCCGATTAGCTGTTTCTAAAGAGCATACAGACTACAAAAGACTGATTTAAACAAAAAATGTTCGCTTTTCACAACGACTGTTTTTTTTTTTTTTATCAAGGATCAGAAAACTAAGAAACAAGACTATTCTGTTCAATAAACGCAGATGTTCGTATTAAATTTAGCTCGGTAGCTTTAATACGCAGAACCGAGACGCTTGGGTATATTTTCCTCTACATTTTATGCTATGAAGATATTCGATGGACCATATCAATTCCACGGTAAAGTCTTTCTTGGAATTGTTGACCAAGATGGCCTTCCTTAATGAATTTGTGAATAAACCGATAAGACGTCACCACAAAAAATCAACAACAGCATTTAGAATAGACTAAAAAAGTGTTGAGATTGAGGAAAAAGTAGCATTGCTGATTATTATGAAACACACAGCAGTTCAAGATTTGCATGTTAAAAACCTAGTTCATGCTGTCTCAAGTGAGCATGCTATTTGCAATGGTTGACAAAGAAAACCCGACATGAGGTCGTAGTTGCTTAGAGCCATGTGTATTCAACAGGAAAACAACTCCACAAGAGACACAATTTTTAATGTAAATAGGTATGACACAACACAACTTTCTTGCTACGTAACAAAAAATAAACCTCAAGAACAAGTCAAAAATATTACAAAATCTCACTTAGAATTACGCGAGTTCGTTGGAATTGTGAGGCGATTCGATTCGATCCGATTCGCAAGAGAGAGGTGGATTTTCAACTGCAGACATAACCCTTGGTTTCTACGTCTTTATACCCTGATGAAGATACGTACTTATTGCCACGTGATCGGGTATCGGAAAACCCAAGCTGCCGTTGCAGGGTCTCTTAGCTCCCTCGCCACCAACGGAGCGATATGACGTGCTAATCTCTTTCTCAGAATGTGAAAAAAGAAACGCATGAAAAACGCAGCTAGCGCAAAGGAGTTACCATCTTTGCATGGATTAGTAAACAACAGGCATAAAATTTGTATGCATGAAGAAGGGTTTGAGACGGAACGCGATAGAAAATCGAGCAATTTCAGTGGACAAAAACCTTGAACCAGAACAATTTTAGGGATTTTACAGTCCTTTGTCCATTTTCTGAAAGCTAAAGATATAAATAGTTGTCTGAAATAACACCAAAAACAATTTCCTAAGGGAACTCGCAAAAATAAATTTCAAAGTTCAGAGGAGTTGTGCAAAGGTACGTCACTGTTCGTTATCAGTTTCATTTCACCAGTACTTTCAAGTGTTTCATAAGAACTTCAAAATTTGTTTTCGACCTTTCGCGTTGTTAGATATGATCCTTTTTAGAATATTTTTAAAACAGTGGCACAGATGTTTGCGAAACGATCCAGATAATCTCTGTACGAAGGTTTTTTTTTCTACTTGTTACTCGAACTTCTGGGGGTTCCTACTTAAAAATTGCCACACCGTTCCAGACAGAACTTTCCAAAATTAGTAACTGACCCAAGTTGAAGTTCTTCAACGCGAGCAGAGCAACGGGAATAAATTAAGGCTTTTAGCTCACTGATGCGTTTATACGTATTGTTAGTTAAAAATAAAACAATTTTTTTCCACTTGTTATTCGAACTTCTGGTGGATTCCTTCTTAAAAATTTAAGGCTTTTAACTTGCTAATGCGTTTTTGCGTATTGTAACTTAAAAATAAAACTTCATTAATCAAATTTTGACAGATCTGCACGTACGGTTTCTTGAGGGTATGAAAAATAAACAAAATTTCAGGTGAAACTGAATTGAAAAATTTTAGCTTTGTCTCCAACTGACGTTTTGCGTTTTCGTTAGTGTTGAAAACAATCGTCAATTAAGTTAACATGAAAAAGTCAACAAAAAAAAAAAAAAAAAAAAACGGTGGCGCGCGACTGGTACATAAATCCAGGGGCCCGTTTCTCGAAGACCCCAAAAACGAGTACAATGGCTATGTAAGCGTGCCTCATAGTTCTTTGTTCATTTCTTTNAAAAAAAAAAAAAAAAAAAAATGCGATGGTCGAAAAACGTAACTAGCAAACCTTATGCAAAGTTCTTTCATTGTGTTTGAGTTAATTCCTTGCCATCGCGTGCTCTCCTCCATTTTTCCCGTCGCATACATATGCATTCAATAAATGATTAATAAACAGCTGAAGCATCTGTTGAAAATATCGACTAAAAGGGTTCACTACAGAATTACGTCGAGCAAAATGACTGTTGTTTTTACAAAAAGAGATTCATTTTTAAAACTGTGCCCGTAAATTTCATTTCTCTGGGCAACCCGCCGATAAATAATTGTTTGGAAATCATAATAAATAACGTTTCTGGAATTATCGAGTAGCAAAGAATTTGCATAGCGGATAAATCTATTTTCGCGAAGAAAAGCCCCAGGGTATCTTTCATGACGACAATAGCTGTGTTAATTAAGGTCTGACAACAAGAATGAACCGAAGCTCTTTGATCTATCGATCGCTTTAACGTGAGAAACCGTGAAAGTTTCTCTTTACTGCCGATTGGTCTCCTTAAATACTGATGCTTAATCCAGATTTTAAGTTTCTTTGAAACAATATATTGTGCATAATCCACCGAACTGAATAATGAAAGGGGTGCGAAAAAATTCAACGTTATTGCAAAATTCGCTTTTCGTAGACTTCAAAGCAACTTTACGAAAGGTGCCATCTGTAAACTTCTTATCAGAACAAACCCAAAAAGACCTAATATCAGCTATCAACATGGAAATTATAGAATACTTAATAACACTTGGAAGGGAACTGAATTCAACACGGAATTTCCATATCAGTACATGAATTCTCAATTACGTAACTTGTTCTTTGTAATTCGTGTCAATTTTCCACGCCGTTGACCGTTAGAATTCCTATTTGTGCTTTGGCCCTTTTCCTTTTTTGTCATTTCCTCTTGGGGATTGTCTACATTCGTAAATTCTTTTTAGCTTTCCTTACGTTGCAGATGATTTTCATCAGATACTAAACGAAGTCACATGCATTCCGTGACCGGGCGCAACTGGTTATGGTCCGTTGAGCTGCAAGCTGTTCTTTTAATTTATTAGATTGCTTACTGGTCCTTTATACTAACATGAATGCAACGCTGTGTGATTATATACCACCTCGAACTTATTAAGTTCATCATCCGAGCTCTAATTAACAATTGGATTGTGAGGTCGGGATTTCTATCGCGTGATAGTTGACGAGGCATCACGTCAGCCATCACGCACAGAAATCGACAGCGAATAATCTTAGGCCCTGTCCACACGTATCCGGATATTTTTGAATCCGCAACTTTTTCTTTCCGGATACGGCTTCCGTTCACACGCATCCTGCGAATTCGGCAGCGAATCTGGATATTTTTTAATCCGACCTCCAGAGTGGAAAAAATAAATCCGCAACGAATGGACGGCGAATCCGGATATTTTCGAATTCGATGACGTGGCAAAATCGTGTCCAGTCTCTTACCGAACAATAAGCCAATGTGGCGGCACAACGTGTAGGCCCAGTTTCTCTAGAGTGAATCCGGATACCATCGGATGCGTGTGGACAGGCGAATTCGATTTGAATACGCTACGTGTGGACGGGGAAATTTTTGAATCCGAAATGAAAAAGTTGCGGATTCAAAAATATCCGGATACGTGTGGACGGGGCATTATTGTTTTAGTGTAAATCTACAAGTCGTTCAACCTCTTCACAGACACTTTGAAACGCAACGAAGCGGCCGTCACTGCTCACTGCTGCGCTACTCCCTATCTACAGTAGAATACATAGTGAGTAGCGGGGCCAATTATAGAGCTGTATTCGTGATATATCTTTACATTGTAAAGGTGGAGCATGATTGTTGGTGGAATGGACTCCCAGAGGAGCAGTCGGGATTCCAGCCCTACGTGTCACTATGTTTTAGCCTTTGCACTTTACCCTCGCAATGCCTCTCGCCAACCAGGTGTATAAATGGGTTTCGATGAATTGCTAGGGCCACCTGACAGAGTTCACGGGTGTAATGCCGCGATTGGTTACATGTTATCTGGGGGAGGGGGGGAGATATTCCCAGCCGCTTTGCGCTTAAGACGCCGGAGTTACGAGTCGAGAGCTATGAGCCTTAAGGCTCAATAGGTTTTACTTTACCATCGTAACATTTAAGAAGATAAACCGAATCCCGCGCTGTGATTGGCTACCCGGGCGGGTAAGATGAGGCTATCTTGTCCACTCGGGATTACCCGCTGTATCCAGCAAGAAAATAGTGATTTTTTCCATGTAGTAAATCCTTTACTGACCAAGTTTGTTTGGGCAAAATGGCTCGATATTGGCCTCGTTCTTTTTTGCGTTTTTATGGAACTCGACTCCTTCTCCATCCATAAACACGCTAAGAAGGAACTTGGCCAATATTCAGCCTTTTTGACCTCACTCTTGGACAATAACTTACATATATTTACTGGTTTAAATTAAGATTTAATTTATTATGATAACAGGAATTTCTTTTTGATGAACAGGTCAGAAATTGACGTGTGTCTGCTCTACACCGTGGTCGAGTAAGTAACAATGATGAGTGACAGACTCTGCGGTGAAATTCGCGGTATCTCTGTCAATTTGACAAATAGATCTCATGTTGCTATGCGTCTGTTCAGTTATTGATCACAGATGTCGCCAAAATGTGATAAGAACACAAACGTAGCACACGAGGCGATAGCGGAATGTGTCACTGGCGTTCTTACGACATTTTATTATATAGACAAGAGTGTTTTACTGGAAAATACACCACTCGTAAAATTCATACGAAACCACATCCGGGACTCGGGTAGTGTTTTTTCCATATCCTCTAGCTCGCTAATAAAGATATCGATGATTTCACTGATATCAAGTTTGTTTCTTAAATTGTACTTAAATTCGTTGGTGTACGATCGAAAGTCTTCGGTAATCTTCGGAAGTTTTCGAAAAATGTTCGGCAACGTTCCTGTGACCTTCGGACGAGTTTTGGAAAATTTTCGGACATCTTCGAAAAGAGGTCGGAAATCTTCGGAAAATCGTTGAAAACGCCGTCAACAGTATGTCTATATAATAAAAAGAACATTACACGTTAGCTCGAAGATATCAATTTTATGTTCTCGTGGCAACAACAATATTTCACTCGAACAAAAATTCATATCTTCTCGCCACCGTATAATATCCTCTTTTGACGTTTTCTGTGATCTGTTACTAAGGCCCTATTAGGGGGTTTTGGGTAACGGGATATTAAGGTTAAAAATCAACCGGATATAGAATATTTAGGGGGAAGATTAATAGGATATGGGTCATTAAGATCAGATAAAACAGGATCTAGAGTAGGAAACATGGAATCTATCTGTTTTGTGTAGTAAAGAGACAAAAACAAATGTTAATGGTGTCATCTCTGTGGCTGTCCTACAATTGATCATTAGTAAGAATCGATCAAAACGCGAAAATAATTGGAATAATTTGAATAATTTAGTTGAAAACGGCAGCACAAATTGTTCAGAGGTTTTAAGTTAACAAAGGAATCCAGCAAAAGATACTCAAAACCAAGCGACATTTGGAACTGACGGAAAAAACTCTCCTTTGCGGCTTTGCAACTTCTTCGTTCATATTTGCAATGCATTTTTCAAACTAGTTTTATTTTTTTTAGAAGTTTTATAAGCGACAAGCCTGTGAAAATATGTTACCTAAGTCTCTTTTTCATATCGTTTTATAGTATTCTTTATCGTTTTTTAGTAGTGTTTGCTTATATAAGAAGGCCAAATACAGTAACTAGTCAGTACAGAGTAGGAAACATTTTAACGTACTTTGTTTGGTCCAGCCCCAGGCCCATAGCTATGCTTTTTTCAATATACAACTGTGCAAAATTTTCTTAGAATATAAGAAAACGTTAAAAGCTGTCTTGTCCTTCCACCCAGGCTCATCGTCCAGTGTGTCACCATCAAGTTCCTCCTCGGCTAGTGCATCGGATTCAAGTTCGTCTTTTTCAAGTGTATCTGACTCGAGTTCGTCTTCTGCGAGTGCATCTGACTCGAGTTCGCCTTCTTCAAGTGTATCTTACTCAAGTTCGTCTTCTGCGAGTGCATCCGACTCGAGTTCGTCTTCTTCAAGTGTATCTTACTCAAGTTCGTCTTCTGCGAGTGCATCTGACTCGAGTTCGTCTTCTTCAAGTGTATCTGACTCAAGTTCGTCTTCTGCGAGTGCATCTGACTCGAGTTCGTCTTCTGCGAGTGCATCTGACTCGAGTTCGTCTTCTTCAAGTGTATCTGACTCGAGTTCGTCTTCTGCGAGTGCATCTGACTCGAGTTCGTCTTCTTCAAGTGTATCTGACTCGAGTTCGTCTTCTGCGAGTGCATCTGACTCGAGTTCGTCTTCTGCGAGTGTATCTCTCTCGAGTTCGTCTTCTGCAAGTGTGTCAGCTTCTAGTTCCTCCTCTTCGAGTGTATCTGACTCCAGTTCCTCCTCAGCTAGTGTGTCTGACTCCAGTTCCTCCTCAGCTAGCCTGTCTGACTCGAGCTCTTCCTCAGCTACTGTTTCACCGTCAAGTTCCTCCTCGGCCAGTTTATCAGGTAAGACTTCATATTTAGAAGATAGACTGCGTATTTTTACCGTTTCTTACCTAAGTCAGTGAACTTTCTCAAACCTAAATGTAAGAAATTTTACGTTACCTAATGTTAAAAAGTTTCACATTTCTAATCCTTCGAACATTTTCTTGCAGCATCGACATGTTCCTGCTACTATACCACTATATCAGGTAAATTGAAATTTTCAACTTCTCCTTTGCGGGCTCCATTACATTAAACACAAGTTGTTGCTAAAACAGCTCTTATGTCCAGCAAATGTCAATCAATTCTATCTTCTCGTAATTTGTTGGGTAAGGCATGGAGGCGTCATGGATCAGTTAGATTCCTGTACTGAAGTTTGTCCATTCTTTACTTTTGTGAAGTCGGTATTTCTTTTGAATTCATGTGATACACTGATTCTATTTAGATGAACGCAACCAAAGAGAAAGTTATTACATTCGTTGAAAGGTATCGCATACTAATAGTCGCAAGAAACGGACACTCAGTGAAGGAAAAATGGAAATAAGCTCACTAGCTAAGTTTTAGTTTTGTTCATTATCAAAGAAAAAATGCAACCCTGATTTGTTCTGTCAGGATGACTAACGTGAATTTTTTTAACAAACCAAAGCGTTTGAGAAAAGTAGGACAAAAACAAACTTTCATGACAAAATTCGGCAGTCGATGCACAAGAGCTAGGTAGCTTGAATCATATAATCGCATGAGTCATCAAGGCCCTCCAAACCTTAGATTGTAAAACAATATCGAGTCTATAGCATATTTTATTTACTCTCTATAACTGGCATGACATTAACTGTTTGGATCCATACAATAGTGTATGAAAAGCTTGTAACAGTGCTATTCCCCGCCGGAATAGGAGAACTATAACTGTTGGTTGGCATACATTCTCGGCCACCTGCTTGCCATCAAATAAATGATAGATAGATATCCACGGCAGTACGAAATCATTTTTACCTGTGATAATTATAGACTCGTTACTATTTTCTAGCAAGCAGTTCCAGTGTGTCTGACAGCTCCAGCAGCAGTGCTAGTGTTTCCGAGTCCGTAAGTTCCAGCAGCAGTTCTAGTGTTTCAGAGTCCCAAAGTTCCAGCAGCAGTGCAAGTATGTCTGATAGTTCCAGCAGCAGTGCAAGTGTGTCTGATAGTTCCAGCAGCAGTTCTAGTGTTTCAGAGTCCGTAAGTTCCAGCAGCAGTACCAGTGTGTCTGATAGTTCCAGCAGCAGTTCTAGTGTTTCAGAATCTGAAAGTTCTAGCAGCAGTGCTAGTATGTCTGACAGTTCCAGCAGCAGTGCCAGTATGTCTGATAGTTCCAGCAGTAGTGCAAGTGTTTCCAATTCCATAAGTTCCAGCAGCAGTGCCAGTGTGTCTGATAGTTCCAGCAGCAGCGCCAGTGTTTCAGAGTCTGAAAGTTCCAGCGGCAGTACCAGTGTGTCTCCATCTTCCAGCAGCAGTACCAGTGTGTCTCCATCTTCCAGCAGCAGTGCCAGTGTGTCTCCAAGCTCAAGCAGCAGTGTCAGTGTGTCCCCATCATCAAGCAGCAGTGCCGGTGTGTCTCCATCTTCCAGCAGCAGTACCGGTGTGTCTCCATCTTCCAGCAGCAGTACCAGTGTGTCTCCATCTTCCAGCAGCAGCGCCAGTGTGTCTCCATCTTCCAGCAGCAGTACCAGTGTGTCTCCATCTTCCAGCAGCAGTGCCAGTGTGTCTCCAAGCTCAAGCAGCAGTGCCAGTGTGTCCCCATCATCAAGCAGCAGTACCAGTGTGCCTCCATCTTCCAGCAGCAGTGCCAGTATGTCTCCATCTTCCAGCAGCAGTACCAGTGTGTCTCCATCTTCCAGCAGCAGTACCAGTGTGTCTCCATCTTCCAGCAGCAGTGCCAGTGTGTCTCCAAGCTCAAGCAGCAGTGCCAGTGTGTCCCCATCATCAAGCAGCAGTACCAGTGTGCCTCCATCTTCCAGCAGCAGTGCCAGTATGTCTCCATCTTCCAGCAGCAGTACCAGTGTGTCTCCATCTTCCAGCAGCAGTACCAGTGTGTCCCCATCATCAAGCAGCAGTACCAGTGTGTCTCCATCTTCCAGCAGCAGTGCCAGTGTGTCTCCATCTTCAAGGAGCAGTGGTAATGTGTCCTCATGCCTGCGTATGTTCTTTTGAAATGGTTGTAGTAATTTAGAACAGTACCTTGCCTTACTTTAATGCCTTACCTCATCGTGATTTGTAAAATTTGAATTATTGTGGAGAGTGTATTTGATTTCTTAATGCAAACTCAGTTCTCTACACAAGATATTTATTTGTATTTATATCTTCTTACCAGATTCTTCATCCTCATCGATGTCTCCCACCAAACCTTTAACAGGTAGGCAAAGTCAAATATCTTTAACTTGCCTTCGCTCTGATTCTGATGCTCTAATTCCTTTTTTTTTTCTTTACAAGGTTCCACTTCGATGACTTCCTCCTCGCACTCAGGTAAAGTGTCTCTTGTGTTCCTTTAATTACAAGCTGTTCTTTCATATATTCAAATCTTCAAGGCTTTTATCGGCTGATGGCTGGCGAGGGGCTGGAACTGGCCCTCATTAATTGGTTCCCTATAACTTCGGCTTATTTTATCGCATTCTCCCTTTTATACAGGTCAGTACGTCGTCTCAAGTAGTATTTTTTTTTACTTTCTTTTTGGTAGAATCATCAGTTTCCATTTCATCAACGCCTTCGGAATCAATGCACTTTTCATCCACGGTTGTGCCAGGTATTTGTTGACTTTCTATATGATTCAAAATTGTTTTTTTTTTTAATTTTTTTAATTGTGCGATATCGTGTACGAAATGTGCAATAAACCTATCGCACACTTTTCACTAGGTAATTCCTTTGTCTTGCGCTTTACAGATCCATGCAGTTCTCTATATTGTCTTAACAATGGCGAGTGCGAAGTGAATCTCAATGGAACAGCTGAATGTGACTGCGCCCCTGGTTTCATAGGAATGACTTGCGAGATAGGTACAGTAAAGTAGAACAAAGGAATTTTCCATCATGTCGATTAATCTTAAGGTGGCTCAAAACACTTTCCAGCACTTGGATTTTGATGGGTCGTTATAACCACTATTTTCCACTTGATGCTACAATCATGGTATCAAAAAACTGTCCAATCATTGGTGAGCACGTTGGAATCATTTTCGTGCCAAAAGTTGCGTCTTATCATGCTTATTAAAATTTGATAATATAAAAAAAATTTCACCGAGCCGTTTTTGAAATTATAAGCCCCTAAAGCTGTAATTAAGGGTGTTTTTAGGAGGTCATACTGTTGCTATAGTTACCTTTAGGTCACGAAAATGATAACAACGTGTTCACCAATGATGGGACAGTTTATTGATATAATGATTGAAGCATCAAGTGATAAAGAGTGGTTACAATGACCAATCAAAATCTAACTGCGGGAAACTGTTTTGAGCCACCTTAAACTTAAACAATCACTGAAACAGCCCTAAAGATATGGCGAGGAAGCAAAATTCCAACAAACTATACCCTGGTGACTTTGTATTTAGAACACGTTCTAAAACCAAACAGCGCCAAAATTGAGCTGATTTGCCTCGTTTTTGCCATATTAGCATAAAATTTTGGCAAAAATTGGCCTTTTAAGACTTTTGAAGAACCGATCAACTATACCTCCGACAAAAACGAGCAAATTTCAAACCAATTGTACCAACATTCATCAGTTATAAAAAGTAAGCGTTCGTGCTTACCTGGCTAGTGCTTCTTCAACATTTCATTGGCAGTTAAGATTCGCTTAACACGAGAGGGAATGCATGCATAAGGTTCCAATAAGGTTGTATAGTTACCTCTGTAGATCGTTGTGATACTGATACAGCTTGTCATAATATGACCTTAATGTTTTATCCATCTTCTTATTCTTCTCCTCCTTTAGAGAGGTACAGATGTCACATTTATTAAGCCTGTTTACCCGCCCAAAAGATTAAGAACGTAGCAATTATATACTATTTATTCTCCGTGGACAAATATTGCGGAAATTAGAAAGCGTTTTGGCAAACCGGGGTGATTATCAATTGTATTTGTCTATTGGCAAAATAGTTGAGTTGCAAGCATATGATGTATTGCAAGTATTTTCTTATAAGATGCTACCCTTCTTTGTACATTGTATACATCAGTTCCCGGGTATCAGTCATATCTTACAGGAGTCGAGGACTTTCTGAATGTGACCCCGGGAGCTATTCCCATATAGACGCTATAAAGGCACGTGCAGCGGGATAGAGTTGGGTTTTTGACGGTTCTCGATCCTTAAATAGGGTTTCATTTTTGCCTCTGTATATATTGTGTTTAAGGTGTGATCCTTAGATAGAGTACGTTAATTGTATCAGTGCGTAAATGCCCAGCTATAGGAAAAACAAATGATGTGTTAAAAAAAAAGCAATTCATTTACCCCCAAAGTTACAGAAACGATGTAAAGTTGAATCGTCCACGCTCTTCCCAGTTTTTTCCCTTGAATAGGGTGTCATTTTTTGGGTTTGGGCCTTGAATAGAGTGTGGTTTTTCATGTCCTTTATCCTTAAATAGGGTCAGGGGTTAAAACCTTTTGCGGCACACACCCGATCCGAAATTTACGGAAGTACTCCCTCCGCGGGGTCTGACTCCATCGGACACTGAAATAACTCAAATGATTGGCAAAGTTTTTGACTCGATACACCTAATTGAACGACGTGATCGAACATGACATTTCATTCGCAACATTACACTAAACCTATCTAAATAACAAAGAAGGTTACCTTTGGAATAAAACGTCAGGAAAGTCTTTATTCATAATGCGGTAAAACTGAGAGTAGTATATCGGTTGTATGTTCCTTCCGCTGCACCAAATCATCCATCAGGTAACCATAAATGATACAGTTGTCTAGGTAACTGGGAAGGTTGATGGCTGGTGAGTCAGGCGTTTTGTCTCCAATTCTACCGAAAAATAGCCTCATCCAAGCTTTTGCCACATTTGTTTTGTGTGTGACCCTGTGTGTGTGGCTGAAGCTCAAAGGTTAATGCAATATTTACGATGACTTGTCTTTACATCCTTTGTTATGTATGTCTATACTAACAGTGTTCTTTCGTACAGCTCAAATTTTCGTCACGTCTAAACTGAGGTGGGGGGGAAGGGGTCGGTCGGGGTAAGATACTTTAAAATGTCTTGACGTCCACAAAAAAGGGCTTGAGAGGCTGAGAGGGGGAAGGGGTAATTGAGCTTTTTGGGTGCGCTGGGCCCAGTTATGCGAAGGGTCGATAACGCTATCCATAAAACCACTTTCAAGTGGATTGCCCAGTTTTTTTGGCAACACCTATCAACCGGATTGTGATTTATTCGGTGGATAGCATTAAGAATAGACATAACATTTACGTTACCTTCTAACGGCAAAAGCTTGGACTGATCAATGTTGGGCCTGATTTTTTTTTATAATGTCCTTGATCAGTTTGATGTTTGGTCACTTTGTGAGACATTTGAACTCGTATCACGGCTCAGTTGTAATCTACTGGGAAGATACCGATAGTAAAATTGCCAAACTTAATGCTTTGTCCTTTCTTTTCTTATTATACACAGTCGTTTTTTTAGCACACAAAAAAATCGCTGTAAATAACTCCCGGCATTTAGCCTTGGTCGTTTAAATATCGAAGGAAAAATCCACCCGCGACGCAATAAGTGTCGGTGGAAATTTTCGGCGACATTTTTTTATCGATGACATTTTGCTATTGTCAGCAAAAGTCGGTGGAACTTTTCACTGATATTTTGAATTTATTTGCAAAATGTCGGTGGAAATTTCCATCGACATTTTTTTATCAGTTTGTAAATATCGATGACATTATGCTTTTTCCAGCAAAACGTCGGTGGAACTTTCCATTGATATTTTATTTTACATTTGTTTGCAAAATTTCGATGGAAATTTCGAATTCCATCGACATTTTTTATCTATTGAAGATATCGATGATATTTTGCTTTTGTTAGCAAAACGTTGGTGGAAAATTTCAACGATATTTTACATCTATTTGCAAATGTCGATGGAAATTAATTTCCATCGACATTTTGCTTCTGTCAGTAAATCCCATTAGAATTTGCAGGGTTTTCAGTCAAATATTTCGGGTTATGAATTCACAAAAAAGGAACAGTTTTCACTCAAACGCTTTACTTGTGGTAAAAGTATGGTCTTTTAAGGGTTTTTTGACAATACCATGGGAGAGAATGCTAGAATTTTGATTAAGTTAAAAGATTTTACCGAGATATGTCACAGTGTGGTAAAATTGAACACAAATAGGGCAAAAATCGCAATGCAAGGACACAAAAATAGGAATTTGGTCAAAAATAAACTAAAAACGGCAATATATGACAGATTTCCGCTATTTTAGAATATCACCTTTGGTTTTAGAACGTGTTTTATATAGTTGATTGTAATGCTACTTTTCAGATGTGGACGAGTGTAATGGTACTAATGGTACTAGTCCGTGCCAAAACAATGGAACTTGCATAGACGGGATAAATAGCTATTCTTGCAACTGTACCGCTGGATTCATTGGGCCAAACTGTAGCCACGGTAAGAAGTTTTCTTTATGGTGTTTATTTATTCTAGCATCCAAGGCGCGAGGGGTTTGTACGTTATCCAGAAATTTGACTGGTCGAGCCGATATTAAACGCGATCAATATTATCCCATCTAGACAGCCATCCAGAACGGCTCCGAGCGAACAAAAATTAGTACCTCTGTATGGGAGAAGTTCAGTTCAGTGTAAATTAAAGTCCTTCCTTCGTATTGTGTTTATGGCCCTGTGATGTACTATGATTATTTGATTTCAAGGTTGAATGTCTAACTGAATAATAAAAATCATTCAGCCATACATTCCGTCCATAAAATAGAATATTTTTTACACAAAACTGCAATCTTGTATCACAGCTGCGACCCCCTAAATATACCCATTACGTTCTCTCCCCACCCCCACCCCTCAGTTTCAGAACCGATATAAACAATCGGCGACTGTTTTCAGAGAATTAGAAAGAGAATCCGTCTTTAAATTTATAATTTGTTGGGTTCTTTATCCAACAGTTGACCCTTGCTATAACACCGATCCGTGTAAGAATGACGGCGCATGCTATGTAGCGGATGATTACAGTTTCTTCTGCGTCTGTCCGATTCCTAAAGCTTACACTGGACCTGATTGTGGTACTCCGAGTAAGTATTGTAGCTCATCATCAACACATCAGTTTCATTTTCATTTTCTAACCCCACTGGTAAAATTTCAAATATACAACTCTTATCTTGCTACAAAAATCCGTGTAGTTTGTTTTCAAAATTTGCAACTCGTATTATGCAGCGAAAATCCAAGTTGTGTAATTTCAAAATGCAGATGTTTACAACAAAAGTCGTTCTTGGGTAATTTTAAAATGTTCAAAGAACGCTACACTAGAAGTGTTATTCCAAATAACTGCCAACACACATTCAATTACTGTCTTCTGATCCCAGCATACCCATGTGTTACTTTACTTAACAACCAGCTTCATGACATCAGTCTACTTAGCAACCATTTTTATGACGAACGTAACTTAGCAACCAATTTCATAAATAACGACACTTTACCTGGCAACCAATTTCATGGCGATACGCTACTTAACTGTGGTAGCAGGACCAATTGTTGCCTGAAGTGTGATTACAATTCCTTCCTGAAAAAGAATCTTTTGGATTCATTAAGAATTTTTTCAGATAGTAGGATGGCTTGTTGAACAAAATTACCTATAACAACCCAAAATGTTTTATTCTCTGTACATTTTACAAAAACGAATTAAAAAACGCATATGTAACGTTAAAAAAAACACACAAATACGCTATCTAGATGTGCACAGATATTTACCTCCTACAATGCAACTTTTATCCTAATTGCGAATTTCCTTCACACATATGTTCCCCACAGCACTAGTGTAATGTTTTTGGGACAAAGATCCTTTAATTGAGTGAAAGTAAATTACCAAATTGTTCCACACAGTTGACTGTTTCTGGGACGTTATTTACCCGTACGGAGAAGAACAACAAGACCAGGAAATGGAGGTGGATTTGGTCGAGGGAGGAGAATGTAAAACAATAAGGAACGACGATGGCTTTTATTTCTATGACATAAAGCGATACAAACTGTCTGTAAGTTTGTCCTCTGTTTTAATGAATAGATATTTGTGTGGTCTAAACACGAATTACACTGACACATTTCCCCGGCAAATAGGCTCGTATTGCAGTGTGTTATTGTAGTATCGCAGTGTTTTCCAGGGCATATATGAAACATCCCACAAGTTGCATTACTTGATTTTTTAATCAATTACTTGAGCTTGTGAAATGATACGCCCCATAATGCTTCAGCTGTAGTCTCAAAAGTACCTTATTATACACACTCGCCTAAAGGCGCTTTGTTATACAAAAATCAAGCTTTTAAAAGAAAGGAATGAAACAGAGCGAACCACAGACATTACTTGCGCATTAAGTTCCCCGGCCGTTTGCAGTAGTTCATGGATGACGCATCCGACGGTATCACGAACAGAAAATGTGATCTAAGTACTTGACGTAACCAAACCAATGATTATTTTTACATTAAACATCAAGTGGCATTGACTTTGTTTCACGCCCCTTGGGTTACTCATAACCAAAGTTCTCTTTTTTCAGATTTGCGCGGATGGAACGATTCGTTTCGATCAGGCTTTAGTGCTAAACTCTGCGCCATTACCAACCTGGGATACGTTGAAATTCCGGTTCACAGTTCCCATGTTATTCCCATTCTGGTCAGTAATCGATCGTGACCACTCGTTCTGTTCCAGTGCTGAAGACTGCTTATTCGATTACTCAAATCGTTCTGCTGTCTTCCGCCAAGTTTATAAAGAAGGCTCCAATGCGCCGAATGCTTCCTACATACTAGATAGAGCAAGTCAAGATGTCAGGAACAACACACAGTCGTTTAGTTTCTTCTCAGCCACATGGGTACTCGTGGTGACGTGGCTGCGTCTTCGACCCAAGGTGCTGTCTGTGAGAGACGTCAAAGAAGATATTGTAAGTCCTCTAAAAATACAATAAACGTCAAGTTTTGGGGGGAAACAAGGTGTTCAGGGATCGTATTTTTTCATTTGATACAGTAAGACCCATATTTTCTACTAAATATCGAGCAAAAACTAAACTGCCTCACGATATACTCTATTTCTTAGAGATTAAAAAATGCGCGAAAGCATTTTTTGATATTTTTTTTTTTTGAAAAGCGCCAAGCAAAAAGCTATTAAACCTAAACATGAATAGCTCTAACGAATATTTTTGCAGTGTTTTCAGTTGTACACAAACGTTAGAGCAGTTTTCAAACGAGTGTGGCAAAACCAAAACCAAAGTAATCGCTTTAGTCAATCACAAAGAAAACATATAATACAGTGAACCAATCAAAACTCAAAGTAATTACTTGAAGCTGACGTAAAATGTATTCTCCAAATTACAGACCAACACTTTTCAAGCAGTTATAATAACAGATGGAACCTACACGTTTCTGAAATACCATTACCCCTGTGGCGGCCTTCAGTGGGCAACACCGACTTTTGAGTAAGTGAACAACAATGAAAAAGGTATAAAACTGGTCTTTGGTGCATTGGCTTTCCTTTAGATTCAAGGTTTCCAGTATGAACCGACAATATAGGATGCTCACATGTAAGTTAGATAAAACGGGGGATTTTTTGTACTATGTTATGTTTGCTCGGGGGGGGGGGTACTCCCTTATATGGGCTATATAGGTATGTGCGACCCCAAAGGGTATGGTTTTTCAGCCGTTCTGGTCATAAATTGGCCATTTTGGTCCTCACTAGGGTATGGTTTTAGCCGTCTAGTCTTTAATTGGGTATGTTTCTTGGAAGAAGCTATTTTTTCATCATTATCAATAAGACCGTCAGCAAAAGTTCTTCATAACGTATGTTTAGGGCAACTATGTCAGCCGCAAAGGTCACAAATAGGCTGTCAAGTTAACATTTTAGCCAGGTCACAAATAGGGTAGCAAAAACCGTAGATTTTGGTCATAAATAGGTAAGGGTTTTGGGAAGTGGGCCGCACACCCCCACTCAACTTTTCTGGGAGTACCCCCCCCCCCTCCCCCCGTGTGTTTGGTCAACAATTTTGGTCCAACTTAATTCTAGAAATTTAACAAGTTCAATGAAATTTCATCATGTTTGTAACATGAACTGCAGATTACTTTTTTTCTCTTCTACGCTAAAACGTTACGATTCATCGTGAACCAAGAGCCTCTCTCGCTAATTACTGACTGACTTATTATTAATTACTGGTTGATTTTACAGTGACCTCTTCTCAGTAGCTGGCTTCAACGCTGCAGATGGTGAGCTGAGTGACCGAGCTAGGTTTCCTACTCTTGATGGGTAAGATTTCACACGCGTTAACGCACAAACAGGAAATTCCTGCTTTACTTTCTCCCTCTCTCCTCCTTTTCCAATTACGTGCAGAAGTCTTATTTCACGATATAGAAGTTGCTAGTATTGTAATAAAAAAATATCTTAATTAATTTCCTATTGTTACAAAAAATTTCCTTCATTTAAACTCTGTTTGGATTAATTCTTCAGTTTTCTACAGGTCACGTTCTAAGTTCGTCATTTCCTACCGGGAATTTCCGTTCCATTTGTTATTCCTTATGGGATTTCTCAAATTTTTAGTTGAATACCCCGCATTTTGGAAATTTAACATTTCTCAGATTTGCCAGAAAGTTTCTATTTTTTTCATTCAATTTTTTTTCCAATTTTTTTCCTTAGGTCGGCGTCACAAAGAGCGACGGAGCTTTCCACTTTCTTACAAGATGAAAATTCAATCATTCGAGGAGAGTTCAGTTTCAGAATTGAAACAAGGACGGGTGATGATGATGAAACAAAGTGCAGGAAGTGGGTCAAATTTCAAGAGGATAATCTCAAAAGTCTGATAACACAGTCATTTTTGCCGAGATGCCCATGTTCATTATTCCAAGCCCTCTTCGACAGCAGATTCTTTTTTTCGGACCCCTTCACGGAGAACATATGTTTTAACTCTTCTGTCATAACCCCCATCACTGGAAATCTTGTTTCTGGAGTTCTTTTCCAAAGGTGTTGCTATTCGCCACAATTTGGTGCACTTGTTGTAGACGAAGTTGACGCTGGCAGCGTAGTATTTGAAAAAGGAAAAACTACTCTGCCGGACGATGTATTGGATGACTTCGCTGCAAAACAGGTCTGCTGCTATAACTCCCCAAACTGTGACAAGTTCTACTCCGTGAGACCATCCCAGGACTGTACAGGATACCTTCCACTTATTAGAAGTAAGTAACGGCTTTATTTTTCCACCTAATACATTGTTATGAAGGCCGGGATACTCGTTACTAATACAAGGCCATAATTCTGTCCATGGGGGAAAGGTGCAATGAGGTTAACCCTATGTAAAGCACCAACCCGTCAGACAAGGCCAGACCACAACACCGGGACTGAACTACGTGCCCTACTCTTTGGAATAAGTGTGTGAGTTCTATAACGTCTTCTGCTAACCATGCATGTAACACTGAAGATGCAGGAGACGGGGCCTACGGTTAATAGTCCTTATCCGAGAAGACTTGAACATCTGACCATTTGGTTAGATGTAATTACAAAGGCAAAGCATACTCCTCAGTTATTTTACGACCCTGAGTGTTGGTCCGATCTGGGGCTCGAACCCTCGACCTCCCGCACAGCAGTCTGGCGTCAGTCTACCAACTGAGCTAACAAGGCGGCGGTTAAAACAAAATAATCGAAGACTTTCAAACTTTACTCACTTCAGCCGTGCGGGAGTACATAAATGAGTGAAGGCAAACTTTTTGGGCGGCGATAATGGACAAGCATTCAATCTGGCTGCTTCATGCTACAGAACTCGGGCTCATAACTTAGTAGCTTCAGGTTATGATCCCCATAAAAGCCTTACACCCCATTTACACCAACTAAACATAGTTTAACAAAATCAAGTTTAGCTTTTTCCAATTTGTTGAAAACGCTTTGCACTCATTTGAGAAGACAAATTTCAAAGCATCTTGGTACCATATTTTAATTAAACAGGGTTTTGCCTGTCTAAGTTGTGCACTGTGTTTTTTTTTGTTGTTGTTGTTTGTTTGTTTGTTGGTTGGTTGGTTGGTTTGTTTGTTTGTTTGTTTGTTTTTCATGTTTTCAATTCTTTTTCTCTGTTACCTTTTATTAGTACCGTATATAACTTTTATTCTTTAGATCTTATATTACTTTAACTACTTTGTAAAATGGCTCCAAATTATGCCGTTAGCCATGACTGCTGTACTTAAGTTACTTATATTAACAACGACTTTAATTTCGTTCTAGTATGGTTTTGGGGAGATCCACACTTAAAAACACTGGACGATAAAGATTACACTTTCAACGGTATCGGAGAATACACAATGGTTGATGCCGACAACAGCTCGTTTGTTCTCCAAGCAAGAACTGTTTTGGCTCCAGGGAACCTTAGCATAGCAACGGTCTTTTCAGCAGGGGCGGCTAAGGAATACAATACCAGCACAGTTGAAGTCAGAGCCATGAACGAAAGTAAGGGCAACGCGAGCTTTTTGTTTTATGGGCAATGTTCTTCGTTCTTTTGTCCAACATTTTTAACTTTAGTCAGTGCCACAGAATTGAAGTTTAAATTTAACTGAGTAAAAACGCAGTTTGATAGGACAGACACAACTGAAGTAAAACTGAATTTTACAAAAAGTAAAGTAGCGAGTTCAAAACGCTTTTGAAATGCTTCAGGGCTGCAAATTTACCAGTGACTTCTATCTTGACAAAGGAAAATTAACAGATAAACTGTCTGTTTTATCTTGATACGCAGGTGGTTTGGCACTATACATCGATGGCACGTTGTTCGCTGGCTACAACGATTTAACTAACGTGAGTAAAGACATTGGAGGCAACTTGAGGGCCGCCAGAAAAACTGAAAAGTGTCTTGATATTACTTTCAAGTCTGGAACGGGGGTGCAATTCTGCGTAGACAAAGGTTTGATGACGTTTGTGGTGATGTTAACCGATGAGTATTTTAACAAGACCAGAGGACTGCTCGGAACTTTCAATGGCAATCCTGATGATGACTTTACCTTACCAAATGGAACTGTCCTTTCGCCAAACTTGACTTCAAGTGAAATTCATTATGATTTTGGTTTAGAGTGTAAGTGTCTCCATTAAGAGTATCAGAACTTGCGCAATGACGACGACGACGCCCAAGACGATGCCTAATAAGAACGAATTTATATTTTACCGACGAAAGTCGCGACTGTCTAGATCTGTTCAGTACGCCAATGGCTCTGACAACGTGCTCGGGTTAAATTTTCAATGACCGCGTTCAATTCCAAATGAAAACAAGCGAAAATTCTGCCGTCGTCGTTCATGCTCCTCAGACTACGCAGAACTTAGTCATTTCACGTTTTTGCTATTGTTTTCTTAACGCACGTGCACAGCTAATTATAAACCTTTTGTTTGGTGACGTTCTCATTGCCGTCGTCGTCGTGGTTTGCTTAGGCACCCTAATAACTTACGTAAGACATCACAAACTCTTGACTGCTAGTGGGGAGAAGGAACATTCTGAAAATGACATGAATGCACGCCGATACTGAAAAGTCTTTTTTTCGTAGCACAAAAACATTTCCAGTGATGGATAAACCCATTCCACTTCCACGTTTGTCACATTCGAACCTTGCGCTTCGGCCTAACTCACTCGATTCCTTGGAGCAGCTCGTATCACTGACTGATTACATCTTTCTCGGGCTTTTACAGGGCTTAGCACTTTACCATCATGCTATATACAGTTTCGAATTTAGGACTCTCAAAGCCACCGTTTCTCATACTTGTTGTATATTATTGTCCAACTGCTTATTTTTTGTTGTTACTATATTTAGGGCAAATAACGAACGAAGAGTCATTGTTCACCTACGCGCCTAATGAAAGCGTTGCCACCTTTGCCAATGCAAGCTTCGAGCCCATGTTTGTGGAAAATATTGAGTGGGCGGACAATGCCACAAGGGACGCTGCCTTCTCAGCGTGTGATGGAGATGTCGCCTGTTTGTTTGATGCTGCATCTACCAATGATGTTTCCATAGGAACTAACAGCAAAGATGTTAACGTCCAGTTGGTAAAAGAGAACGAAGAGCTTGGTAAGCCGATACCTGGAGGATTCTGTTAAGAATTACAAACCCCGAGGCCCTTCTCTGACCTGAACTATAGATTTTTTTCCTTTCCCATCGTATGGTTTCATCACCACCACATCCTCGAACAGAAATTTGCTTTTTTATTCCACCTGTACTAAATGACATCAAATGTCCATTTTCTCAATACAAAACACAACTGCAAAAATTGGGAAATGTAACGTCAAGTATCTAAGTCTTTTTAAATGTAAAGCAAACACGCTTAGCTTTATTATTGCAGACATTATAGTTCAGATAAACGTATAACGGAACCTTTTCTTTCCCCTATTTACAGCCAATTTCCCTCCAAAGTTTATTTACGTTCCAACAATGATCGAGGCCAAGCTTGGAGAAATCGTTTTCGTCAACGTAACTGCCACAGACAACAACTCATTTGTATTCAACGTCCTGAACAAGCCGCCAGGGGCCAGCTTCAGTAGTACGGGAGGTCTCCTAAACTTTACATGGAACGTAACCTCCTCTGAAAGGGTAAAAATATACTTTACAGTTAACCCTACAAGTAGTTTTCAGTGTCAGTTTTTGAATTGTTTTGCTGTTATTTTTGATTTATTGCGGTTTTTAAAGGGAAACACATTTAGCACACTCTACCCTCGCAGATGGCGCATCTCCAAACATTCGGCCTCAATTTTTCATCGTTGGAGTAGTACGTCCCTATTTTTCTCACTCATGGTTATATCTGTTCGTGTTTGGTTGAATAGATTCGCTTCGGTGTTTGTCTATTTTGAGAAGTTATTTTTTCAGGATTCCTACGATCTGGAGTAAATTTACTTCCGTGAAGTTCCTTAAAAACTTGCTACGTACTTCACTCCTCTCGATGGGAATTGTCTTTACCGACAATTAACAATAATTGTTATCTTCTTCTTCAGGTTAAGTTCACATTCATAGCAACAGACGAGTTCAACGCTTCCGTGAGTTCTATACCGACCATAAAGATGTGTGCCTGCGAAAATGGTGGTCAGTGCGTCGCTCCAGAGCTGGGCGACAAACTAAACAACGACAGTAAATTCATAGTCCAAGGCTGCACATGCGCAGCGGGATACACAGGCAGGTTTTGTGAAAACGACATTGACGCCTGTACTTTCAACGGAAATCCTTGTTTCACGGGTGTTAACTGCACAGATCAACCTCCTCCAGCAAATATTACAGGCTTTATTTGTGGACCTTGTCCATCCGGGTATTTTGGAGACGGTCTCGAATGCACTGGTAAGTCCCGTATGATCATGCTACGAGTTATGAATCTTAGAATGCGACTGGCGTCCACTCCAACTAAGCGCTGTCATGCGATCTTGTTCATTACTTATGTTTATAGAACTATCATGTGGGTTATAAGTATCAACATGAAAAAGCCCCGTGTGTTTATAACTTGCTTTATAAAGTACAATAAGAAATTTTACTTTAATTACCATGTACTTGCAAATTCAACCTCTGACTCTGGTTGTTCAAAGAACGGATAACGCTCCGAGATAACGCTATCCACGGGATAAATCACTATGTAGTGGATAGCGCAGCTTGTTCTGTCAAAACGTATCCACTGATGGTGAAGTGTTGGAAAATAGCTTTATCAGTCCCTTCAACAACTGGACCCTGAAGTATGTCTTCTCGAAAAGTTTCATCTACGTGGAGACTGTAAGTAGTGAATAGATGCAAAAATGACCACGTTGAACACCATGATGAAACGATTCGTTAATAAAATATTTTTTTCTTTTTCAGACATCGACGAATGTAGCAACAACACTTTGAACAACTGTGAGCAGACATGTGTCAACAGTCTTGGCTCGTTTAGCTGTGAATGTAATTCTGGCTACAGTTTGAACAGCAATGATTTTGGCTGTGATGGTAAGTAATACTTGGACTGTTAGCTGCCGTGGGGGGGGTCTGAGGCAAGCTAGATGAAAATGGCGTTAATTCGGACCAAGTGGTGGAGAATTACATAAACAGGCAAGTTAGAACAATGAAGCACAGGGAAAAAAGCAAGAGATAAAATCTGTCCCACTCATATGCCACTCTTCCATAAAGAAACGAACGGTGAGTAGCAATTAACCATAGAATTGTTCTGAAACGCCGACTCAACCAAAATTTGTTTACAAAACTCTTGCACAACAAGAATATGTGATTTTCCTAACTTTATTAGCTAGAAGGGGTGCTTTGTCACTCTGTGCCGGGTTGTTCAAAGACCGATTAAGCCAACCTAGGATTAGCAAAAAATTTGCATTTCAGTTTTGTCTTTTTTTCAGCGAGGTTTTCTGTTTGTATTGTTTGTCCTTTAGTTTTGAGTTTGAGTTATCTCAAACTACACAAAACTTAAGAAGTGAAAAGCATTTTTATTCAAGAAAAATTGATAATTCGGTTAACTTTTAAACCTGGGTTAGTTTTAACGAGCTTTCGAACAACTCGGCCCTGATCACTCATCGGAGTTTTCGAGGCTGATGTGGCTTCAGGCTCTCTAAATATTGTAATTTATTCAATGGTTGTTCTAAGAATTTTGCGATACCATGTGGTGATTTCACTTGGGAAACTCATTCCCGGTCTATTGAAACAAATGGCATGGGTTGTACTCCACAAAACTTTATTAATCCTGATGTTTTTCTCCTCAGATATTAACGAATGTGAGCCCACAAGTGATTGCATGCACCAGTGTAACAACACGGAAGGAAGTTACCACTGTTACTGTAATGAATTCTTCAAGGTTGATACAAGCGACCCAAAAAGCTGCACACGTAAGTTTTGGTCGGTTGAATCGATAGTGATAATTGTTTAATTAAGTATTTGCTAATACTCAATACCAGGGAGATAAGTTTGCCTTACGGAGTCTTTTGATAACAGGTAACTTGTAAAGTTCAAAACCCAATTTAAGACTGCGTTTATCGCTGAGGTTAACCAACGAACTTTGAAACAAAGCAGCAAACAGAATGCAAGAAAATCTACTAGTTATAACCCTTAGACAGGGTTATGAAAGGAATCCATGGTCGATATCAAGGGCGTGTACTGTTGTACGTAGAAAGTATTTCTCTTCGATCCGAGAAGCAACGGGGTAATAACAATGGAATCTCCTGGAAGTAATCAATTTGCCCTTTCTTTTTTATAAAGCCATTACGGAATGCCCAGTAAGCAATGATTGCCACCAAGTCTGTTTCATAAAGGGAGGTAACAGCCAGGCTTGTGACTGTGATGCGGGTTATAAACTTGAAAGTGATAACAAAACCTGTAATGGTAAGTTTATTTACATTATTATTTTATTTAAATACTAGAAACAAACATGTCAGAGAGGTTTTCAATTAGCTGTCGAAAGTAATCAGGCCATTACATGTACGTTGGCTTTGGTTTTGGTTTTACTACCTAACGGTTTGAGATTGGCTGAGTAGTCTAATTAGTAAGTAATTGGTTAATGGTTTTGGTTTCACGACACTCAAGTAATGAGTGATTCTAAAATGTATTTGTTACAATCATAAAAACCTTAGCTTTCGTCTAACTCTTGAGCTAGAATTCAACCTTCTTGCTTCGGTGTCCTGTCTTTTGAGTCGCAAACGTGGCGGATCTCTTACAGGACTGCAGCCTCAGAAATCGCTTTTTTTGTTGTTCCAGATATTGACGAGTGTGAAATTGATGACATAAAGTGCACGCAGTCGTGTCAGAATAAAGATGGAGGATACGACTGTCAGTGTTATACTGGATTTAATTTGGAAGCTGATGGTTTCACATGTACAGGTAAATAAGGTGGCAATTAACGGTTAATGGCTACAGGTCGACGACCAGAATGACACATTAAACAAACCAGTGAAATGGGTTCTTTGCTCTGTCGTTCTGCCCTCAGCGACATAGCAGCATTCACACCTGTGACGACACAAGTCGTTGCACCTTTTTCTCTCTCGATAACTACGTCCGTATTCCGTCATGCCAATCCCATTCCAATACATTGCTGAAAATTGCACCGCCGCGACTCGATCGTCTAAAGTATTACTAAACAGCGCAAAACGGGGGACGGCGTATCTTGTGAAGTCAGGGTCGCACAAAAATGGTGATTTTCACATCCTCCGTTGGAAAAAAATGGCAACTGGTACTTTTACCCATGATTGTTAGCCCACGAAAACTATAAAAGTTCTCATAAAAACGTACCGAAAAGTTCTGAAATCCTCAAACCTAACATACACAGCTTCTCTCGTTTGTCTCACAATGGAGTCACTTTGAGATGTAGAGCGCGATCTACATCTCAAAGTGACTCCATCGTGAGACAAATGAGAGAAAAATTCATCTATCCTATCTTACACCACGATGAATAATGTACACATCTTTAATGACATGTACAGCTTCGTTAACGCAGAGACAAATATTACAAAATCAAGGCTTTCCTTGTATTTAACGGGTTGCGCAATGTTCGCATGGTATTGTGTGTAAATGTACAGCCTCATCGTTTTCCCGCGGAGGATTTCGGCAAATTCTCGACCAGCAGTAGTTTCAGTTGAACTACCCGGAAAGTAACCGAATGCGAAAAAGAACTAAGAACTGTTAGACCTGATAAAATGTTGATGGAGTGATGCTTATTCCTTTCATTTCTTTGAAGACATTAATGAATGCTTGGATCCAAGTTTGTACAGCTGTCCTGGACAATTCCGTGTCTGTGCTAATATTCCTGGTAACTACACCTGTGAATGCCAGAATGGATTGTTCTACATCAACAACACTTGCCAGGGTGAGAAAGAATATTATTTTTTGTAATTCATTTAATTATGTTGTAATTTATTCAGACCACACACCACAAATAAGCCAATCAAAACACTCACACAAATGAGCCTATCATTGTGCCAATCAAAACACGTACGTGAGTGACGAGCCAATCAAAACGAACGAAAGTGCAATGAGCCAATGCAACTAGAAGACATACAGAATACAATGAGCCAATCAGAAGACGAGGAGGGTGCAATAGGCTAGTTACAAGACGTACAAAGAGTATTATGAGCTAATTAAATCCAGCAAATTATAACCTACGAATTTCTCCCTTTACTAAACTGTGACAGTGAAAATTACCTCAATGTCATTGGCTGAGAGAAGACAAAATGATCCGTGCAAGTCAGTTAAAGCGCCGGAATTCATACTTTTCTCATTCATAATGTGTGATCATTTTAAAGTTCGAGAGGTTTGGCACTACTAGCAATCTGAAAAAAATTATCTCAGATTACACTTGCGTTTAGGCTCAAAACATTTTAAGCCAATTACCAAACATCCCGTCGTAGTTTAACTCCATGATTGCACTCGCCACAGTAATACGATTACCTATACTAAGATGCCGTGTGGAGATGTGACGGGGTTTTAACACTCCCAATCAGCCATTTCTTTTGCCGCACAATAATTACTCTTTCAGTTTGCAACATAATCTGGTTTAAGGAGTAGTTAACCTGAATCCTTTGTGTTTCCATGATTTAGCCCTCCTGCCAGGCGAGAAGCCACCTGACCCAACAGTTCCAGTACCAAAGGAGGCATCAGACAATGAAGTTCAGAATTCAGTGAATATTACAGTGCCGAGTATGACACTAATTGAGGTAACTGCACTAAAACGTAAAATACTTAGTTTTTCAGGCTACGGGGATGGTTTGTCACGAAAATTATTTGACAGCTGTAACTGCAAGGGTTTCCTCAGGCCTAGTATCTGGGAATATTTGGGTGTGACGGCATTTCAGATTAATTACTTCATAAATACCAATTGTGGACCGGGTAAGTGCGGCACGCCTTGTAGGGGACGAAATGTTCTTTTGCGTCTCACATGTCCTTGGCCAATTGTTTAAATAAATAAAGAAATAAAACGATAGATAAATAAATGAATAAATAATCAATAGCTATTATGGAAAACAGCCGTCGAGGAATTTTTGATGTCCTTTAGGATTCGAAAAAAGTAGTGTTAACCCTAATAAGTTAATCTCACAGACAAATCAATAATGCACAAAGACTAACCATGGTTTTCATCTACCTTAGACCTCAATATCCATTTTAGTACCAAGCTTAGAATATCCATTCTCCAGGCTTTCATGTATTTCTGTTAATATCAGTTCGGACAATCTGGTGTTGCATCAAAACAGTTTCTCCTGAGTTTTTTGATTATTTACCTCACATTTTCTTCTTGACCATATGTTAACACTGAATGCGCGAAAATAGATTTTGATCATTCATGTTATTTACACAGTCACATTAACTTTTTTTACATCATAATACATGTTTGTAGAGACAATTTTAAGCACATATTCAATATCTTTGATACTTACACTTTCCAACATATTCAATATCTTTGATACTTACACTTTCCAATATTTACAGTACACCGCGGCGGTTGATCTAGAGTTCAGGAAGACAACCGCCAAACAGGCCGACAACTATTGTCAAGAGAATAAAGATGAGTGTGGAATAACAAGCAAAAGAAGAAGGTAAGTCGTTTTCAAGCCTCTCGTTCATAGTTGTTACGGATCTTTTTTCAACGAATTGATTGCCTCGATCGGCGCAAAGTCACATTCACAACTCCCACGCCCGCTAGAAAACGAGGCCGAGTAATCTAAGTGGACTAGTATCCCAAGGCTTGTTTCTGATAACAGTAGCTATTAAATGCAACATTAAAATTATCTAAGCGGCCTTTCAAGAGTGCTCGATTAAGAGGTTCTTGACCGCTGGAAAACTACGACGGCTGCCAAGAATTTAGCACCAAGTCGCTAAATTAATGCTGCCAATGGCGTTCACATCCAATACAAAAACGAAGATTGACTTAACTTGACTATCCAGAAAGTCCTCCCTTAACTTTCTTCTCGCCATCTTTGGGAGAAAGTCATTAACTACACTAATGACAATCAACTACACCCAAATTAACTACAGTAACGAAGAAGTTTGGTGTGGATAGCACTCTAAATTCCAGTTAAGTGGCAAGCGTTTTAATTCCTTAGCTAGTAAGGATTGTCTTCTTGTGACAGCTTAATAGAGACACACGTTTATTGCTTAACTTCCTTGTTTCTCACAGGCGGAGCACACAGATTATTACTGCCGATAACGTTCACTTACTACCAGGCTACCCATTGGAAGAAAACTCGGCCTTGAGGTTGGCTTTCTACATTTTACTGCCGTCATTCCTTGAAAGCAGTGGCATTATCCCTGCGGCTGTTCTTGCGCAAGTGGTGAACGACGTCAAGTCAGATCTTGAGACAGTGTTGGGATATACTATCTCTGAAATAAAGTTGACACATGAGCCGACGACGACCACAGCTCCACCGGCACCTACTAATGCTACTAATGTAACGACCTCGGAGCAGCCTCAGACAACTGGTCCAGCCTCCACTGTTACCACCACGGAGAAAACGGATGACGACTGGAAATGGATCGTGATTGGAGTCGTTGTTGGCGTTGTAGTCATTGTTATAATCGTCCTGGTCGTCTACTTAGTGTAAGTTATATTAGAATCGTTGTGGAGGCGCAGTGACCTCACGGTTAATGCGCTCGCCCCCAGATCGAGCGGTCCGGGTTCGAGCCCTGACAGGGAACATATTGCTGTGTTCTTGGGCAAGACACTTTTCTCTCACAGTGCTTCTCTCCACCCAGGTGTATAAATGGGTACCGGCAAACTTAATGCTGGGGGTGACTCTGCGATTGACTGGCATCCTATCCAGGGGGAGTAGAAATACTCCTAGACGCTTCCTGCTACAGAAACCGGGATAAGCTCCAGCCTGATGGGCCACTTGGCTCGTATGCAGACTTTACCTTTATTTTATCATATTAGAATCATCCTTAGACGAATGAAATAAATGGCAATTGCTACACGGTAAATCCTGACTACTGACGAAGATGGTCTACATTGGGTTTAAATGACACCCGAGGGCCAGTGCTCAAAATTTTAATTGTCAACTAAGAAATGAAGTGCTTTTAACTGATGGGCGAGATATCTGAGATCTGCAAAATTTATTGATCTCTGAGAAATGGGCTGAGATGTATAACCGATAGCTGAGAAATCGCCAAAAATTTAACTACAGTAACTGAGATTCCAGCATTCCTATATATGCAGACCCTCAAAAAAGGATTCACTGACAAGCTGTTGCTTTGTAGCTCTGTAACGTAGCATCCAAATTGATTCACATAAATGTTTAGGAGGTATTCTGTCTAGGTTTACTGACCGTTTTATGCCGTGCTTTTCATTCTAGGATTAGGAGAAAGAATTCAAGCAAAGTTGGCATAATAAGCGGCGATAGAGAAAGTGGGCAACATTCAAGAGATGAAAATGGCAATCCTGGCGGTGAGGGGCATCTCATGGCGACCTTTCACATGGAGCAAGGCCAAGGATCATCTAGGGCGTAAAGCACAATAGCTACAATCTTAACCATAGAAGCTAGCTCTGGACACCTCTCCTTCCAGACCTTTTAAAAGCCAAGTAGCTGAACTCTGTATATTGCAGCGATTGTGTAAAAGGTCGATGCGCAAGCAGCACACAAAAGAGCATGTGAGAATCTGAAGCCACTAGGCGAGGCTAAGCTTCCAGTTATTGACTTTCTTTATTAGTTATTGTCTCGTATTAGCAGCACAGATAGCTGTTGCGGTCTTATGTGGCTTCATCAGCATAGCATATCTGACATACAACAGGTATTATCGGTGAGATGAAAAGTCAGTCCGTAAAACAGTATTTATTCACGTTCATTGGTCCTTAAATGAGAAGTATTGTTTTAAAACGAATTTCTATTTCGAGGATGTGATCTTGAGTTAAACTTGTATTTTAGTTAGGTGGGATGTAAACCGATTGACTCGAGAAAGTTTAAGCGATTTTTAAGCAGTTGACTTGTAGAGTTTGATCATTGACCAAAAAAGCTCCTTCTCGTCACAACATCGAAAATATATGCATGCCATGATTTGCCTATTTAACAGCCTGTAAAGCAGAATTACAGGAGAATGTAACATTATGAAATTCATTATCTGCAGTGTTCTAACCATATGTTCATCGCTAAGATACTTCTACTATATTTAGTGGAAGAAGCAGTACCACATGAAACTGTTCTGTTCATTTTGCTCTCTATGGAAAGCACACGCGTAATTTACGCAGGGTTTTGAAGGGTTAGATGAATTATATTATAAACATACATTTTAGCGTCAGCTTTAGCTGGTCTAAAGTCCTATTCTATAATCAAAATAGAGATCGTCAGTCGATATAGTAAATCATAGAATCACTGCTTTTGTGCAGTAAGTCAAACTTTTGCATGGTTTTAATGATATTTACCTTTAGATCGAAATGTATAAGTACACATTTTCGGCAAACGTTCAATTTGCACAGCTATTTCTAATTGCCTGACCAGTAAAAAGGATGAAGTTAGAGCTCTGATAATGTAATTGGATTGGGATTCAAATCGTCAGCAATCGATCTGGTACTCCAAGTGCTATCTAGAGGTGCCTAGTTTTAAGAAAGGTTTTGAACTTCTCAAATTTTTGGATTTTCCTGACTCCAAGAGTTGGGATTTGAGCCGATAAGGCATCTTGGGTAAAGGTAGCATTCTATTTATTAATTTTTTTCGTATTTATCAATTAAGCGGCGACCTCAAGGTTTCTATCGACTGCTAGTTAGCAAGAGGCGAATTCCCGAGCAGAAACCGAGAAAGAGAGAATTTCATCGAGCTGAATGGCCAACTTAAGTGTTCTCAAAATGTTTACTCTTGCAGTTAAAAAAAACATACGCATGTGAGAGGAAATTAATGGCTGCAGTTTTCCGCTTTCCGCACTAGTAATCGTTAATTTCCTGCACTTCTCATTCAGTACGTTACAGTTAATGCGAAAGAGGCTGGCCGTTCTGCAAGGTGAAATGTTCTCAATAATAAAAGGAAATTTAGTTTCATCTATCGAGATGATAGGCCGAGACGTGAGGTTCAGAATTTAGATTTCTTGGACGAATGTGTTTGAGAGAGAAATGGTTTTTTACATGAACGAGTCTAAAGAATGAGGGTTTAGTAATGTTAGATGTAAATATTCAAGAATGATTTTTCCTGCCACAAATAGATGTGCTCAGGTAATAAAAAATAACACCACTAAACAAGGCACAGTAGCCCGCTTCACCTTTTAAAGCCTCTCTACATTGAGGTTTTGTTCCCATTTTAATATTAAAAGGAACATTTAGTGGAATGAGCAGCATTTATTCGTGTGGTAAATACAAAACTCAGGAGTTAGGCGATGAAATTCATTGTAAACCTGTTGATACACCAATAAAAGTCATTTCATTTTACCTTGGTAACGTATTATTTTGAATTTTTTTTTTTTTTCTCAATTTAAATGTTGTTTTGGATATCGGGTCATTGCTCGATAAGAACAAAATTTTATAGAACCAACCAGAGCACGATTTCTTCACGCTTATCTGTACATTTCATCACGTGATTAACATGCATTTAAAGGACCGGTTCACCCGTGCCAATCAAGCGTAAGCAAAAAGGCAAACATAAGCAGAAGGCTGTTCACAGGGAATATAAGGCCCCATGCACACCGCGCCGAAGGAATTTAAAAACGGAGGTTTCACTATGCAAGCCCATCAAACTGAAAACTTGAAATTTGCAATGCAAAACTCACCGTCACTTTGAAGTAGTGTTTGAGTAAAACTCAGACAGAGAAATATCATCGTTTTCGAAAAGCTTCGTTTTCAAAATGTTTTCTGTCTACACCAAGACGCGAAGTCGGCGTCGTCAAATTCTTCAGGTTTGAAGAGCTTTTTCGAAAAACGTCCGTCAGTCGTGACAGATTAGTGTGGATGGAAGGCCTAAACGTAGAAATAAAAGTGCGTTTTCAAATTCCTCTGGTGTCGTGTGGACGGAGCCAAAGGGTAAGAACAAAGCGACAGACGCAGGTCATGCACTGCGCATGCCCTTAAATTTGGATTAGCTCATGCTTGAGTCGTACATGTAAAACAGCTTTACTCGGGCACGAAATATATTAAACTGGCAGAGCATCCGTTTTCTGTCTACAATATCAGCCACTATACCACATCATCACGTATTCATCATAAGGACGCTTAACTAATGCTACATTCTCGGTTGTTTGATCTGACAAACATGTTTTGAAATGTCAGATTCTACAATACACGTGTTCTTCTAGTCTTATACCATCACACCAAAGTCTACTACTTCAAATAGAATTCACAAGTCATTTTCGTCTGTCTTTACTCACTTACTCGACTTCAAACCAAAGATTGGTTTTTACCCACTGGCGACTTAATCCTGATATTAAACACAAGCATAATAAGAGGGCGAGTTTTCTAGGGCGGTAACGACATAGCAGAAGCACAACCACAAGAAGGGCAAACACTCTCATTCATTTCCAGTCTATATCATTAGCAATCATTATGGTTTAAGCAAGCAGTAAACGAAAAACGAACTGTTTAGGTTTTCCTACAATGATTGCTGATGCCAATGGATCGGTAGGTTTTATACCGCTGAGATTCCCAGTGTGAACAACAAGGGCAGAAGAAGTGTTTGTTATTCTTGCACTCATGCTTAAACTTACGGCGCTTGTGAAAACCACCTTGGCGTCTCCTCGGTATTGAAACAAGATTGCCTTAAATGCCGGTATCTCAATACAGTCTCAATACAAGAATCTCGAGTCGTTTTTCCGGAATGAAATCTATCATGTAATTGCGCTCAACTTAGTTCTACGCTTGTTTCGCGGAGTGAATAGAAGAAGGGTCACCTATTTCTCACTCATAACAGAACGTGATTGAATGCCGCAACTTTTTTAAATAAACAATCCTGACCGGTTTCTAAAGCTCCAATATTATAACTTTACTCATAACAGCATCCTTTTTTTTAAAAATGGTTGATTTTTTTTCTAAGTGTGTCGCGACAAAAATGGAGCACAGTCAGCACATTTCTGTAGTCGAAGAAAGAGACGGGCCATGGATCATTTTATGAGTTTGTTTTCTAAGTTTCTAAACCGTGAAATCCAGCTTTCCTGGTTTGTAAAAAATCTCATAACTGCTAATCTATATTTTATGTTCGCTTTAGATTAGAATGTTCCATTCTTTGAAAAGAGTCGGCGGGAACAAATTAGCTTGGGTTGACCCCTGTACTGCTAAGAACGGCCAAGGTGAGATTTGAAAGAAATTCAGTTCACAACAAATTTTGCAACGCAAAAATGATTGATTTAATAGTTGTCATTGTAATAGTTACTGTTATTAAATTCATATTAAACAGCTTGCACAGCTTAATGAACAGTACCAAATGAAAGTGCTTTAATTAAAGGCGGGTCAACGACGAACAAAATTGTTTGTTGACTTATTTTCGTTAATTCGACTTTCATTTGACCTTGTATCTTCAGGGGATTCGAACTGAACCTTTTCGTAATGATTTGTTATGGGAATTTAGACATTAAGTATACTCAGGCAATATAGACTTCCATTAGCTATTAGTGTTATCTACGACATGCGCCAGTGCTATATTGATTGTAACTTCCAATAATTAAATTTCAATCATTACTCGCCAAAGCAGCGCCGGTGGGGTATTGCCTCCAACTTTGCATTGTCTAGCACTCAGTAAAACTCAACCGTAGCAGCGGGTTTCTAGCTTATTCAACCAACAATGTAACAGTAGAAATTGTATACGCTTGAAATAGTTGCTTGACATATTAAATGTGATAGTTTTGTTCATTCTGTGTTCAGAAAAAGAGAACAAAAGTTTCTGACTAAAATTTTAATTTTTTCTCTCGTAACTAGTTGTCTAGAACTTTCGCGCTTCTATGGCTGTCACCGAAAAGAGCAGATTTAGACCGAGAGCAGTCAACGAAGAAGAGCTTCTTCTCTGGTGTTGTTTTGTTTGTTGATAGACAATTTAATCAGCAAAAGTGCTACTTATCCATAATACCTGCACTTTAAAGAAACGCCTCATGACTTTCTCGTCGACGAAACACTTAAAAGGCAAGCGAACTAACATTTAAGTACTCTATGATGGCACCTCAGTTTCAATACGAGTACCCCTTTACGATAAATATCCGTTTCGTCGGCGAAAAAAAAACACAGAACGCCACAATTAAACACCGGTAATATTAGGTAATATTCGGAATCCCTGCCAACCTGTACTGCTATCAACGGTGAAATTTGCATATGCATTTTACTGATTACTTTTCAGTGAATGGCTTGAAGTCTGGACCAAGCGGAAAAGCAAATGAGTTAAAATTAATTTGGAAACTTGCCTCAAACCAAACCACTGCACGGAACTAGAAAGCTTGGGATCATTTCAGCATTTTTGTGGCTTGTACTGCCAACATGATATCATTTTTTCTTGGATTTCTCGCAATTTCGGTAGGTATTGTTTGTTTGAGACTTTTTGTTGTTTTATAGTCAGAATTCCAAACGGTCGAACTAAGATTTGACATCAAACATATGTCTGTGCAACGCTCGTTGTGCAGGATAATTTTACATATACGTCAAACAGTATTTTATAAGACATTTTAGATCATTAGTAAATTGTCGGGAAAGTTCTGGCGGTATACAAATCATACCTCATACAGTTATACAACAATATTAGTTTCCATGGAACGAATAAGAGAACGCTGTGTCGGTACGCCGAGTCTAACGGCTTTAAATCCTGACTATCCGTTAGGATTTTAGAACTTTCAACACCTTCAGTAGCGCAAAAAAGAAGAAGGCTTCCTTTAATGGCAACCACTATTCCAATCCATTAAATGTAGGCATGATTTTGTGGGCCCAAAATTCCGATTCTAGAATTTAACAGCGTACGTTTTTATCAGACACAATTTACCTTCATACTTGCAATCGCAATATCTTTTTAAGATGACACACTGCTCAGGTGCTTGCAGTTTAATCCTCTAGAGAAAGTAACACAGATTTTGTT